GAGAAGACCCCGCGGGGCGCAATCGCGGCGTCGGCAGGAGGGGGCAGCGCCCGGCCTCCGGACCCAGGGCTAGGCGACCTCGGTGGGGCACATTCTCGGGCCCTGATCGCGAAGCCCAGAATAGCAGTCCCGGGTGGGGGGTGGGAGCGGTCAGTCTGGGCTTTCCAAGGTCACCCCACCCTGGCGCCAGGACACCAGGCCGCGGCTCTGCGGGACCGGGGCTCGCTCGGGCAGTCAGTCCCCTGCCGCAGATCCACGTCCAGGCGCGCGCTGGCCGCGCGGGGGCGCACGGAGCCGCCACCCCTCCCGACCCCGGCCTGGGCGCGCCCCGGGAGGCCCCGGTGGGAGGGGCCGCCGGAGCTCCCCCCACCCGCACCTCGGGCCCCGCCGCTTCCGCTCGCCCTGGGGCCGCCCGGGAAACCTGGACACGCCGCTTGGGCTCTATGCAGCCGGTAAGTCCCTCTTCCTATCCTCCCACTATCCGGGCCCAACGCCAGCAATGAGGTCTACTCCTCCCCTTCCCTGGCCCCGTGGGACTCGGGGGACCGGGTTGTGAGGGCGATAATCCACGGGTACGCATGAGCTCTGTGGTCCCTCATTCTCAGGGAAACTGAGGCCCACAGTGATCTTGCCCCAGATCACTATGCCAGTAGTGAGCAGCCAAAACAGCCCGAGAGGAACCTTGGGAATGGGGGTCGGAGAGGGGGAAGGTTGTCTCTGTGGCCCCCATTTCCATCACCTAGACCCCACCCGGGGCTCGGGTCAGTGGGGTGTTGTCAGGAGGTCAAGCCCCTGTGCCTCCCGCTGCCTGAGCCAGAGAGGACAAGAGTCACTGCTGCTCGGCCCAGAGGGCGCGCAGGCCCTGGCCTGGAGCAGGCTGCAGCTGCCCCAGGTCCTCACCTCTGCAGTCACCTCAGGGTCCCGAGGCCCAGTGTCAGCACCAGGGGACTGGGGACTGAGGGCACGGAGGTGACCTTCCCCATCTGGGAGCTGAGGCTCACCTGTCTGGCCTCCCTCCTCCGTGCAGGCCATGATCTCCAGGGGAGTGGGCAGCAAGAGGCTGCGTCCCCTTGGGAGAGATGGCCCTGGGCCAGGTCACCGCTCCCTGTCCCTGCCCCAGCCAGCAGGAGGTCCATGCTGCTGCTGGGTCTAGGAGCTGGGAGCCGGGGGACCCTGAGCCTGGGCCGGGCTCCTGACCAGCCCCACCCCGCACCCTCTGCAGGGTCTCACAGAATCATGGACTGAATCCAGGTGGTCCCCACGGCACAGATGGGGAAGCTGAGGCCTGGGGCAGCGGAGTGGCGGGCCCCTGGCCACACAGGAAGGTAGAAGCAATGATGAGGTGGGGGCGCCCCAGCCCAGGAGCCATAGTGCACTATCCTTGGAATGACTCCTTTACTCACCAAACATTAATTAGGCACCTACTGTGTGCATTATAATATACATTCAATAACAATAGCAGATAGTTTTGAGCACCCACCTCTGGATCCTACTTGATCCAACCAATCCCTCAAAACCCTATTATCATCTCATTTTTTTCAGAGACAAAAAGGGGGCTCAGAGAGGTCTGATTACTGTGTGAGATCACACAGCCAGCCAAGGCAGAGATGGGGTTCAGCGTCGGTCTAGCTGGCACCCGCTGCATAGGCACCCTCTGCCCCCTGAGACCCCGACCCTTCCAGAGCCTTCTGCTCGTGCTGTGGACCCTCCTGAACTGTGTTTTAGGGAGCAGCGCTCAGGTAAGGGGCGGGCAGTAGAGTCCAGGGCCGGACAGGAATGGGGACATGGCCAGCGGCGTGGGTTCACCAATTCTCCTCCAGGCTGACCGGCTTCTCTCTCCCCAAGTAGGGTCCGGGGGAGTGGACGCCCTGGGGGTCCTGGAGCCGCTGCTCCAGCTCCTGTGGGCGGGGCGTCTCAGTGCGCAGCAGGCGCTGCATCCGGTGAGCGGGAGCCACTGGCTGGCAGTGCTGGGGTCCCTGGCCCGCCTCTCCTGCCCGCTGGCCCAGCCCTGCGCCCAGCCCCTGGCCGCGCCCAGGACCTGCCCACGCATGCTGTGCCCTTTAATCCTGCTGATCCCGCTGGAATGCGGGTGGGGTTGCTGGGGGCGAAGGGTGCACAGGCCTGGCCGGGGTGGGTCCCTGGGCTCTGACCACACGCAGGCCCGTCCGCAGGCTTCCCGGGGAGGAACCGTGCTGGGAGAGCGGCCACGAGTACCGCGTTTGCCAGTTGCCGGTGAGTTCGGAGCTGCTCAGAAGCCCTCTTGCTTCCCAGACAGCCCTGCTACTGGGCTCCCTGGGGGCTGACCCCCATCTTTGCTCCCAGGACTGTCCCCCAGGGGCTGTGCCATTTCGAGACCTACAGTGTGCCCTCTACAATGGCCACCCTGTCCTGGGCACCCAGAAAACCTATCAATGGATCCCTTTCCATGGCGGTGAGTAGCCTGGCCTCCTGTGGTTAGGGAGGTCCAGAGTGAAGGACTCATTGCTGACAGCCAGAGAGGAACTTGAAGGGTTGCACAGAGAAGGGGCATTAGTGTTGGGGCTTTGAGGACGATGTAGGAGTTGGCAAAGTGAAGTGGGAAGCAGCACAGGAGAGCAGATCTGTTCTGCACAAGGTCAAGTGCCAGATTTGCAGAGGCTGGCCGTACTCACACTCATCGAAGTCACAGGAAACGTTGCTGCATCGAGCTGAAAATAGTGGGTTATATAACTGTGCCCGGGGCAGCACGCCTCCAGACTCCCTCCAGGGAGACAGGCAGCTTCAGCCTCCACAGGGGCAGGACACAGGAAGGCCTAGGAGGGAGAAGGTGCACCTTCATGGGCTGATTTTCTTTCTCTCCTCCCTGCTCCCCACCCCCACCAAGAGCTGGAGGACCCTGCCATGTTCCCACACACACACTGCCCTCGACCCGGCCAGGTCGAGATCTGTTCCAGGCAGGGTCTGCTGGCCAGGCTCAGACGGGGGAGAGGGAGAGGGAGCCTGGGCAGGGATCAGGACTGTGTGTGTGTTGGTACCATGGATTGGACCCAGGGGCACTTAACACCAAGCCACATCCCCAGCTCTTTTATATGTATATTTCATTTAGAGACAGGGTCTCGCTGAGTTGCTTAGCGCCTCACTAAATTGCTGAGGCTGCTTTGAACTCAATCCTCCTGTCCCAGCCTCCTGAGCCCCTGTGATGACAGGTGTGCGTCCCTGCTCCCGGCAGGGTTGTGTGTTTGTGGGTGTGATGGAACAGCCCATTTCACCATGCTGTTAGGCAGAGGGGAAACTGAGGCCAGGAGTGCAGGGACACACCCAGGCTACACGTGACTTAGTACTGGACAGACACTTAATTGGTCACCTGCTGAATGAGTTCTGCCTGGTGCTGTATCTCAGAGCCCACAGGTGTCTGGAAAGCAGTAGGTGCTCAGTGAGTGCTTGTGGAAGGAAGGAAGGTACTGATGGACAGTACAAATGGACCCCTGATGTTGAGGCCACTCATGAATGAATCAGTGCACCCTGGGGGAGCCCCAGGTGGCCTTTGGTCCAGTCCAGGCTCTGCTGCAGCTTCCTATGTGGCTTTGGCTGAGTCTCTGGTCCTCATCTGCCCATATGATTGCCGGATGGAGCTTCGGTCAGGGGGACTGGAAGTCCGATGGAGGTCACTGTCCCACTCACTTCTGCCCCCAGCACCCAACCAGTGCGATCTCAACTGCCTGGCGGAGGGACACACCTTCTATCACAGCTTTGGCCGGGTCCTGGACGGCACCCCCTGCAGCCCAGGTGCGCAAGGCCTCTGCGTGGCTGGTCGCTGCCTGGTAAGGATTCGCCTGGCCCCGCCCACCTCCTCTCAGCCCCACCCCCGCCTCCTATATCCCGTCCCAGGCTCCGCCCTTTTGCCCCAAAGCCCCGCCTCGGGCCCTGTCCGGGCTGCCTCAGGCCCGTCCCTCACCAGACTCCACCCCAGGCTCCACCCCGCCCTCCCGCTCGGCCCCGCCCCTCCGCCCCGCCCCTTCCCGGTGACGGCTCCCCTCCGCACCCCGCAGAGCGCCGGCTGTGATGGGGTGCTGGGCTCCGGAGCCCTCGAGGACCGCTGCGGCCGCTGTGGCGGCGCCAACGACTCTTGCCTCTTCGTGCAGCGCGTGTTCCGTGACGCTGGTGACCGCCCTCCCCGTCCTCCCGGTGTCCTGGCGGGCGCGGGCCCTTTAAGGCGTCGTGCGGTCCCGCTCCTATTGGGCAGTCTGTGGCCCAGCCCCTCTGGCCCGTCATCCTGATTGGCCGAAGGCAGACTGTCCCACCCTCCTGGAGCGCTGGAGCTCTAACCCCGCCCCCGCCCCCCCCCCGACTGCGCGCCGCGCTCCCTTAACCCTCGAGTCGCCGCGCACCGCACCCACCCCGCACCCCTACCCTCCCGCCCAGGTGCCTTCGCCGGGTACTGGAACGTGACCCTGATCCCCGAGGGCGCCAGACACATCCGCGTGGCGCACCGGAGTCGCAACCACCTGGGTACCGCAGGGCCCGGGAGGGGACGGGGTCCCTGAGACGGTGGGGCCGGACCCCGGGAGCCTGGCCGACTCTTTCCTTGCAGCGCTCATGGGGGTCGATGGGCGCTACGTGCTCAACGGGAACTGGGAGGTCAGTCCGCCCGGGACCTACGAGGCTGCGGGCACCCGCGTGGTCTACGCCCGCGCCGCAGCGCCGCAGGAGACACTGCAAGCAGCAGGGCCCACCTCCCAAGACCTGCTCTTGCAGGTGCGCGCAGGGCGGAGCGGGAGGCTGGCTCTCAGGAGGAGCCTGGGCTTCGGGGCCTAAGGGCAGCTCCCTGCCCTGCGTGCCCCACTCCAGATCCTCCTGCAGGAGCCCAACCCCGGCGTCCAGTTTGAGTTCTGGCTCCCTCGAGAGCGCTACGGGCCCTTCCAGGTGCAGACGCAGGCCCTGGGCTGGCCAGTGCGGCAGCCACAGCCACGGGAGGTGGAGGCTCGGGCCCCCATTGCTCCCCCACCTCTGATGCCCACCCTGGCCCCAGGTGGGGCAGGCAAGGGGTGTGGCCTGTGCCCCTCACAGCCCCGCCCCCCACAGACCCCTGCCCACCCTGCCCTGACACCCGTGGTCGTGCCCACCGGCTGCTCCACTATTGCGGCAGCGACTTTGGTGAGAACCCTACCCCAACGCTCACCGGCCCCCCATTAACCTGACCTGACCCATTCCTCCCTGCTGACCTCTGACCCTGACCTGCTTACCCTTGATGGCTTCTTCTGACCCTAATTTTTTTTTTTTTTTTAGAATTTTTTTTTTAATATTTATTTTTTAGTTCTCTGTGGACACAACATCTTTGTTGGTATGTGGTGCTGAGGATCGAACCCGGTTCGCACGCATGCCAGGCGAACGCGCTACCGCTAGAGCCACATCCCCAGCCCCCTAATTTTTTTAAAATTATTTTTTAGTTGTCGGTGGACACGTACCTTTATTTTATTTTTATGTGGTGCTGAGGACTTGACCCTGTGGCTCACACATGCTAGGCGGGCAGCCCAGCCCCAGCCCCTTCTGACCCAATTTGACTCCTTGGTGTGATCACTAACTCTTCATGGATCTCTGACCTGACTGGACCCCAGGCCGCAGCCAACCCCAGTCCCCAGGGCTCTCTGAGGCCCCACCTGATCCTCAGCCCCCTCTTCCAGCCATGGCATGTGGACGGGTGGGCGGGGTGGGTGTCCAGCTGACTCACAACCCACCCTGCACACAGTGTTCCAGGCCCGTGTGGTGGGCCGCCACCGCCAGGCCCAGGAGACCCGCTATGAGGTGCACATACAGCTCATTTACAAGAACCGCTGGCCACTGAGGACTCGAGAGTATGTGTGGGCACCTGCCCACTGCCCCTGCCCACCACTGGCCCCCCAGCAGGAGTACCTGATGGCTCTCCGGCGTCTGGTCAGCCCTGATGGCACACAGGACAGGCTGCTGCTGCCCCATGCTGGCTACGCCCGGCCCTGGAGCCCTGCTGAGGACAGCCGCATCCGTCTGGCTGCCCGGCGCTGTCCTGTCTGAGCCCTTGGAGGAGACCTACACCACCCACAGCAAGAAGGACCCCATGAGGAAGCTCAGACCCCGCCTATTTCCCCTCTTACCTTGGCTTCAAGGGAGCTCAGAAATACCTACCACTTGCAGCGGTGTGATTCCCTGTCACAAACAGACAACCTTTGTGTCAAGTCAGATCCAGTCATAAGCAGGCAGGCACTAGGGAGGACGAAGTGAGACTGAGAAGACCCATTTCCCCCTCTCACCTTGTCTTCCAGGAAGCTCATCGCTATTTTACACTCAGAAGGTTTGTGTTTGTTTTCATCTTCCTTGCTTCACACTTGCTTAGAGACAGTCACGAACAAACATGTCACAGAGGATAGCAGGACATTGTAATGTATCCATTTCCCTGAGTACCAGGAAGCTCCTCCCTGTTTAACTCCCTAACACCTGTGCCCACATCTCTCAGCCGTTCACATACCCGTGCTTCTATATTCAAAGACACAGTCACAAGCCTGCATGCCCCTTAGAAGACATGCCTAACCCGGCACTGGTTTCCCTTTTTGCCTGGGTTTCCTCCAGTCAACAGACTAGTGTCCACCTTTTTAAAAAAGTTTCATTTTGACACAGGCTGCTGGCCTTGAGCTTGCCATCTTTCTGCCTCAGCCTCTGGAGTCGTGGGGATTACAGGTGTGCCTTACTGTGCCCCGCTCAACCTCTTTCTTATTCTTATTTATTAATTTTTATAAACACTTAAATAAAACAAGGCTCTTTGGTGCACATATTCTGCCACAGGAACTCAGGGACGCCTTGGAAGAATCTCAGCGAGTGCTGACCGGCCCTGAGCCTGTGGAGGCCTGAGCTGGGGGGGGGGGGGCAGGTCAGAGCCCCTGCCCGTGTTCTCCTATCTTCTCCAATCAGGGGCCATGCCCAGGCAGGTACCGGCAGGTGTCTGTGGGGTCACATGGTCACTGCAGACCCTCCTCTTGGGGTGTGCCTGAGAGACAGTCCCACTTTCTCACCCTGATGGAAGCCTGCAGTGTCCTTTGGGGACACTGGGGGCCTGGGGTGAGGAATGGTCAGCTCTCCCCTGCCGCACAAGAGCCCCTTCCAAGCCGCTGCAGCCGGGCAGGGGAGGGCAGGGTGCTGGACTCAGCCCTGACCTCATGGGCCACCTCCGGAGGCCCTGCCCCTCTGTGGATACCCTGTAAACCCCTCCTGGACCCGGCCACGGGAGCTGCATTCTCCAGGAGCCCTTCCCCAGTCCCTCCGTTTGTTCATGCATTCCTGCATTATTTATTGAGCACCTACTGTATTCCAGGGACCCAACAGTCCCTGGACAGGCCCAGGCCTGGGAGCAGTGCTTCACTGCCTATGGCCTTCAGTGATGGCGGGCAGCCCAGGGTCCGCCCTGCCCGGAGAGTACAGGGGTTCCGGAGGAGCTGTGGCCTGGCTGCAGGATGAGGCCCACTCCCCGCGGTGCCCTGCGACACCCATCTGCCTGGTGCCTCCCCGCGTGTCTCCGCTGGCCCAGACCTGGGCGGTCCTGGGTCCTCCGACCGGCTTCGTTGGGGGTCCGGAGGGGTGGACGGGGGCGGGGCCTGTGGCCCAGCAGGAGAGCGCTGCGCAGCCAGTGGGCGCTCCAACACCGTGTCCAGGTCCGCAGGGTGACCCAGGGCTGAATGGGGGGAGGAGCTGCCATCAGGGCCAGGCAGCCACTGGGCTGCAGCTGCGCTTCTGACTAGGAGGCTTCCAGGGGTGTCCCCAACACCCGGCAATTTCCCTCTCTCAATTCGCTCTAAGCTTTAAAACAATCCATTAGATAACCAGATGAAGACATTTTAATCCCACAGGAAATGGAAAAGGAGCAGAATAGCTCCCACAGAAACCCAGCGAAACCGTGCGCTGTGGCTGGTGTACAGGGTCAAGGACTGAACCACAAGGGCCGGGCCAGGAGCCCGCCTGCCCTCACCGCGCCACCTGACTCCCGCCGGGGAGAGAGCGCAGAGCCCACCGGGAACCACAGACATCACCCAGAAGGGAACCTGCCCAGAAGCCCAGCTCATGGCAGCCCAGGACCGGGAGTCACTGCCCACCTGGAGGTGACACCTGCAGTTGTAACGTGCACCCTGTGTGCAGCCTGCGCCGTGAAGCGCCGGAGACCAAGGACAGCGGTTTTTCTGGGCAGAAGTATTTAAGCAGCTGCAGAATATCAGCTGATAGCCGGTCCAGCAGAGGGGCCCTGGGCACTTCTGTTGCTGCTGTTGTTCTCCACAGACAGCACAACCTGTAGCCTGCATGGGGCTGGTCACTCCCCAGACCCTGGCCTCCTGTCCCGGAGCACTGCAGTGCCCTCCCAGCACGGTGGCCGGCCCAGTCACAGACCGCCCAGGGGCTGAAGGTTGGAGGTGGGGCCCCAGGATGTCCACTTGCTGCAGGGAGGGAGGGAAGGTTGGTATCTTTGCTGTAAAAAAGAATTTGGTGGCAGAGTGTGGTGGCCACACCTGGGATCCAGCCATTCACCTAGGCTTCCGGCTACTCTGAACGCTGAGGCAGGAGGATGGCAGTTCAAGGCCAGCCCCAGCAACTTAGTGAGACCCGGGCTGGGCTGGGGCTGGGCTGGGCTGGGGCAGAGCGCTGGCCCAGCACGTGGGAGGCCCCGGGTTGGGTCCTCAGCACCACATAAGATAAATGAAATCAAGGTGTTGTGTCCACCTGCAGCTACAAACTTGAAACAAGACAAGGACACAACTAGGGACACCAATTAATTAAAAAGGGAGGCTGGGCTCGGTGGTGAACACCTGGGTCAGTCTCTACACTGACCATACGTAAGTAGACCCAGACATGCACAGTCCATGAAGATGGAGATGGACACTGGAGCCATGTGGCTGCAAGCCAGGGACGCCTGGCACCCCAGAGCTAAGGATCCTGCTTGGAGCCTCGGGAGGGACGCCCTGAGCCCAGCCGGACCTCCAAAGCTGGCCTCCAGGATGAGGAGAGGGTCAATGCCCCTTGTGGTCATCGTGGCCAGAGAAGACTCAGACGCAACAGCCCCTGACAGGTCTATGCGCCCAAAGGAAACAAGCCCTCAGTCCACCAAAGGACATTTCTAGAACATTCCTGGTAGCTGTGGTCACAGTGGCCAAAAGTGAGGCGTGACTCGGGTGACCCTCAGAATGGCCCAGGATGAATGGACATGGCTGAACTAGAGCAGTCTACCACGCGGCCTGCGCAGTGGTTTCATTAATGAGGTTCTAGGCATAAAGTTAGCTAGAAGAGATCGAAATAAACACAAGACTCAGTTACCTTATTTCTATTGCTAGGTCCGAGAGGGCTCCCCTCTGGTTCCCTCCTCCGACCGCCCAGCAGGGCAGCAGGGATTACTCAGGGCTAGCAGGAGAGAGAGCGCGAGCACGCCGGGGATCAGCCTTTTATTGGGGAACAAGAGATTCAGGGGAGAATTCCATCCAATGAAGGTTGGGGGGGGCTGCACTCCAAGGTCAGGGTCAGTGATGGGGTCCCCAGGGTCAGTGGTCAGGCACACCCCCACACGGACGGGCTCTCTCATCAGGAAAGGGTCGGGAAAACTTCGACTTTTGCCAAAGTGCCTCAGGCCCTTAACGGGGGGCTTCCCACAGAGCAGGGACATGAAAAGCCCAGGGCAGCTGGCCGTCTCCTCACTGTGCCAAGTGCCAGGGGTGCTGGTGGGGAACCACAGAGGACAGGGAACGTGGGTCTGCAGGGACGGAGGGAGAGGTGAGACCTGGGGGCTGGTCCCATGGGGGTGGCCGGTGGCACCCCGTGTTGAATTAGACAGTGAAGCTCACCACTTCCACCTAGAGGGATGGCCACCTCCTCACCACCTGTGTGCCTGCCCAGGTGGACACACCTGGCCGCCCTCTGAGGGGCAGAGCTAGGGCCCTTTTGAGGCTTGGGCTGAGGCGTGCCAAGGGGCTCAGCCCCTGTCCTCCCAAGTGGTGCCACACCTCATCTGGAAACCCCCCCAGCCACAGATGAGGATACCTGTGGTCCTGTCCCCAGTGCCCCCGTGGACGAGGGTCAACTCACGACTGCCCTGGACCCTCCGTCCTGGTGAACCCTACCTCCCCAGAGAAGCCTAGAGTCCACTCCAGGGCACCAGCCCAGCCACAGGGCTCCTTGCTGCTGTCCGCATGCCAGGCTGGTCCTGCTGCAGGGCCTGGACGCTCTGCAGTGTCCGCAGGCTCCCGTCCACTCCGGGGCTGCCGTGGGCCTTTCTGGCTGAGCGCCCACCTAACCGCCTCACACAGCTGCTGCCCCACCCTTCCCTGCTGTCTTCTCCCCGTGATGCGCTTGTCACCTTGGTCCCCTGGCCAAGTTCGCAGGAGCAGGAACATTTCTTTGGGTCTTTGCTGGCCCCTGGGCTCCTGGGACAAGGCCGAGATGAGAAGGTGCTCAGGTGTGCTCAGGTGTGTTGAGGAGATGGATGATGCCCGGCCACCGTCCCCACCGAATGCGCAGACAGAGGATGTGTGGCTGTGGGTTGGCAGCTCAGAGTCGCCCTGTTCTCTGGAAAACTGTCCTGGTGTGTGGGGCCGCCAGAGCCCTAGCTGGTCACATGGTAAGGACTGCAGGAGTCCACTGCTGCGCTGGACAGACAGCAGGGTCCCCGGGACACATGGCCCACCGAGCACTGCAGGCACAGCCTGGAGCACGGTAAGGTCGGGTGGGCCTACAGCCCTGCTTCCACCTGCGGGCGAGCACCGAGCTGGCCACCACCTTGTGGCCAGGAGTCCCCGGGGGCACCAGTGTCACCCTTGCTGTTCTGCGCTCAGCTTTCTGCAACACGTCTGTCCCCTGCCTGTCCCCCCAGCGACCCAGGGGCCCAGAGGCTGGGGTGCGAGTTCAGAGTGGTCAAGTGCCCTGGGTTCCATCCCCAGAACTCAGACACCAACAAAACAGCCCTGGCCAGAGCCCACTGGTGTCCTCACACTGCCCTTGAGTGCCAGGCCCTGGGCTCCCTGCTGGGGGCTTTGCCCTCTCCCTGTTCACGGCCCCTTGGCATCTGGACCAGCACGCCCCCCACCCAGCCCTCAGCCCAGGTAGTTATGCCCAGCAGTCGGGACACCTGGGCAAGAAAGTCCCAGGTCTGCACTCAGCAGCTGCTCCCCTCCCCTGCCCTCCGGTCCTCACTGTGTGGGAGTCTCCTGGCGTCCCCTTCCCACACGTCTTGGGGGACCGAGGCCAGGCCAGGGCTCGCCAGCCACTTCTTGGCTCTGGAGGAATCTTGTTTTGTTTTTAAATGAAGAGCGGGTACGCGGAAGCAGCTGACCACAGGCCCAAGACACGGGGACACAGGAGAGGTCCAGGCTTGCACCTGCCTGGTGGGGCGCTGGCTGTCCTGCCACCTGAGCCCTGTGAAGCGGCTGCTCTGCACAGCGGGCACTTGCGCCCGGCACCCGGCGCAGCAGACACTCGCCAGCTGGGGCCGGAACTTTATTGGGCACGTCCAGCTGGTGCCTAGTAGGCCAGGTGTTTCAGGAGCCAGCAGGGCCGGCGGCAGGGCAGCTGGTGTCGGTAGTGTGGCCAGGTGTAGGTGATCTCGGTGGTGGACTCCGAGGAGCACTCCAACTCCAGCGAGGACTCAGAATGGGAGGGGACGGGCGACCTGGGTCCCGAGGTGCTGGTGGCGGCCTCCTTCTGCTGCGGGAAGCTGCCCTTGGAGGCTGTGTTGCGGGGCCCGCTGGGCAGCTTGCTGGGGGACTGCGAGGGGGTGGTGGTGCTACTAGGAGACTGGCCAAGGGACGGGTCCTGATTGGAGGTGGTGCTGGGGCCCCGCCCGGTCCCTGAGGACCCCGCGGCCTGCGGGGAGGGCACCGGGGCCGAGTTGGAGAAGCCAGTGCGGGGCTGGGGCTGAATCTGTGTCTTTCTGGCCACCTGGGAGCCACTGGTAGAGCCAGAGACTGCCTGGCCCTGGGACATGGAGCTGGGGGTGGTCAGTGAGTGAGACTCTGTGGAGGCAGCAGAGAGGGGGCTCCCGGTGGGCCGGATGGGACTTGAGTGCCCCGCCCGAGGCTCTGCCTGGGAATCTGCAGAGGGCTCCGTGGGGTGGTGGGTGCCTGCTGTGGGGTGGTAGGTGCCTGATGTTGGGTGCTGGGTGCCTGCTGTGGGGTGGTAGGTGCCTGCTGTGGAGTGCAGGGTGCCTGCTATGGGGTGGTAGGTGCCTGCTGTGGGGTGCTGGGTGCCTG